GGCTGCGTTTCGTTATTCACTGTCAGTACTGGCAACATGACGTCATAAAGTAGTACTGTAGAAGCGTTCTGAAATTACTAATAGTACTTTTATATGACGTTGCATAATGATTAACGAAACGGATTTAGTAGTACTTATAGTACCGTAACATATATATAATTTGGAATTTTAATTATATACATACCTTTGCGTGCCTTTTCTGCATCTTCTTTATTCACTAATATTTCATAACTTTTATTCGTTTCGACATCTAAAAAACACATTTTTTCCGGATTTTCCATTTCGTTGGATTTCGCCATCTTTTTACTGCGATTGCCTGACCTCGCCAGCCGCAGTAATAGAAGTAGGAAGTGACGCAAAAATTTATGACGTCATATAGATGGAAAAGTATATTGGAAGTGTACTACGACATATATTGGAATGGTATGTGCAATGCTGCTAATACTGACAGTGAATAACGAAACGCAGCCTTAGCCATTCTCTTCCATCTGTTTTCTGCCCAGCTTTTTTTCAAATACCCTGAAATTCTTTCCTCCTTCACTCTTTCATACCACCTATTAAACCTCGAGCTTCTAATTTTCTCCCATCTTTCTTCTCTTTGTTTTTCCTTGTCCACTTTCTCCAGTTCAATAAATTCCTCCTTCCTTTGCCCCCATTTCCTTATTTCCCCTGCATCTCTTCCCCTTTCTCTGAAAAATTCCTGCCTTTCCTTCTCCCATCCTGATAACCTTTTTCCTCCCTCCGTCCTTTCTCTCGTTTCCTTCCAACATTCTCTAGCTAATTCATTTCCCTTCCCTTCCCTTCCCTCATCCTCTTTTCGAAATTCCATGCTCTTCCCGCCTTAATCCTCAGCTTATCCCTTTGTAACTCTTCCCTCACCAAGTATTCCGGTGTTCCATACTCTATTCCTAGTACCCACCTTATATATATCTCTTGCATTGTTTCTATTCTTTCCCTTTCTTTCCATCCTCAAACTTCTGCCCCATATCCCATCAATGTCCATACCAATATACGGTCCATACGGTTTTCGAGATATTGGAACATTTGAACTCTATCATTGAAAATTTTCTAAGTCCGACGTCGAAAATTTTTTGAGAGTACTCAGTAGTTCTGATCGGCGTACTGGGCAGTTCTCAACGAGCCCTGACGAAAAGTATTAGGTGAAAATTCGATTGGATGGCTACATAAGGAGATATGTGCTTTTGCAACCAATTTTTCAAATTTTGTTTTAAGTACATATCTCTTTTATTTTTGGGTCTGTATTGATTTTAATCGCCTAGAACTCTTCGAAATAGACAGAATGACTATTAACATGTGACAGAATTATT